GGCTGGGCCACTGCAGTGGGTGCAGCCCTAGACAGGGGACAGGAGGCTCCCCTCGTCCCCGGTCTGGGGATACCTGTCACCTTAGTGACTGAGTGGGGGTGCTGGGGAGGGAGAAGCACTTTATCTGGGCAGGAGGGTACTTCAAGCAAAATCATGTCCCCAGTCTATGTTCCCCCCCCAGCCCCCACTGCAGCCGTGTCGTCCTGGTCCCCCCCCTCCTCCGTCCTTTCCCAGCTGCCCCCTTTGCAACTTTAGCCTTCCTCCCTCTAAACCCCACTGCAGCCTCATCCTGCTAAGACCAGCACTGCACCCCAGCACCCCCACTTCATAGCTCCCCCTTCCCATATGCAGGCAGGCGTAGCAATGCAGTCCCCTGCAGAATGAGGATGTGCTGAAAGTGTGTGTGAGCATGTGCTTGTGCACACACATGTGCCTGGACAATCAGCAGGTTGGGAAGGCGCCTGGCAGGGCTTCTTGTCTGCACCTCCCCACCCTCCCCTTGCATGTATGTGTACATGTGTGTGCATATGGCAGAGCAAGAGTGATATCCCATGAAGTAAGAGCCACTCATTTCATGTCTTCACCGAGCCCATGGAGGACCAGGGGCCTCCTCATCAGGCACAGGGGAAGAAAGCTCACTAAAACATGGAGAAGGGCGTAAGATTTGTGTTACCATGCCCTTGAGTGTCTGTATGTGGCTCTGGGGACAAATCTGTGTGTACACGACTATAACACACTACATATATATTTAATATATACATGTATGGTTGATTATGCAGGTATGATTATTGTATGTATTCAGTGTGGGTACACACTCCCACATGCACATATGTGTACATTATACATATGTATACATATACATTCACATACATATGAACTATTGGTAATCTCTATGCATAAAGATGTCTGCAGAAATATACCTATCAATATAAATCTTTTTTTTAGGATATAGTTGTGGGCTTATGCAGTAGAAATAAACACAAGTCTCTATACCAGTGTGTCTATTATGCATAACTATAGCTATAAATACTAGAAACATATGCCCAGATAAATGTGTGTAGGAATACATGCAAGTATAGGGAAAATCATATTTTAAGCATATACATGTATTACACACACATATATAGGTAGAAAATGTTCTTTGGGTAAATGCAATATCTTTTATTAGACCAACTCAACTAAAAGATATCAGATTTACCTAAAGAAGATTGTCCACCTATGTCCTTAGACCGTCACGGCTACAACCTATACCCCACACACATATATATACATACACAAATATATATATGTATATATGTGTGTATATATATATATATGTGTGTGTGTGTGTGTGTGTGTGTGTGTCTATGTATATGTATATATGTATAAAGCATATAAGTAACTGTATAAATTGTGTGTATAGCGTAGTGTAAATATAGTAAACTATAGTGTGTAAATATTGCAGCTATATGTATATGTGTGCACACACATTCACACATATATATGCTTGTGTATATGTAAACACATCTGTATATTAGAACAATCTATATAAACATACACATAGAAATATGCACATGCACTGAAGGTAGAAATATGTGTGTATGTATCTGCATATACATTTTACATATGTGTACAGATATTACACACCTATATCTGTAGATGAATTACTTAGTAGGATAGCAAACAGATACACCCTTGCTTATTGTTCATAAATGCTTATACACACAAATATACAAATAGAAATAAATGCGTGTGCATGTGTATAGCAGGAATACTATACATTTATTACATGTACATCTGCATGTACATACTTATGAAAACAATGTACACATGGAAAAACACATATAGCTAGAGATACAAGACTTAAGCCATATCTATATGTGTGTTCACATGTGTATATTACATATAGTCATATCTAGACTAATACTATTATATACATCTATATAAACCAGGCAATTATGTATTATCACCTTTATACCGTTACATTGTAATATCATTATTCAATATTTTTAAAAAATCCACAGATGTTTGTATAGGACACACAAGTGTGTGTGTAGATAAGTACGTGTGTGAATGTGGGACTGTACCAAAGTGTGTGTCCTTGGTAGGAATGAGCTGTGTGTGTGTGTGTGTGTGTGTGTGTGTGTGTGTGTGTGTGTGTGTAACTGTGTCCAGGTCTGTAGATAGATATTGGAAAGGGAGATAGAAAAAGGTATAGCAATATGGGCAGGAGCATGTCCCGTTTGTGTGAATATTTGCCTGCTCAAACCCCAGGGTGTTGTGGGGGTGGTTCTCAAGGAGCTTATTGGGCAGTTATGTACTAGAAACAGAAACATGTATGCATGGGCATGAGCACACACATGGGGGCACATATGTGTTCACTCTGTATGTGGGCATAAAAGTGGCTGGATGCCTGGGAGCTTCTGATATTTAACAGCTGAGTCCAAGGGCATCACAATAGAGGTATCCTGTAACTCGCCGTCAGTCCAGCCACCCCCTGCAGCCAGCCATACACCCCTGCATCCACCCACTTCAGCCAGCTACACACCCCTGCACTCCTATACCCCCTCCAACTAACCCCACAATCCTGTACCCCCATACCCCTCCAGCCAACCATACATCCCTACATCCTTCAGCCAGGCACACACTGATACCCAGCACCCCTCCCACACATGCTCCCACACTGGCACTGCCTTCCTCTCCCAGTCACTACCAGTGCAGTGAGAGGCTACTCTCAAGTCCAGCTGGGTGCCCCAGGGAACCACTGATTTGGGGTGGGGGGGACCCTCCTGCTCCCGGGCTCAACCAGCAGCTCCCAGGTGAGGGGAGGGGAGAAGGCTGGGAAGAATTCAGGGGAGGCAGGGGCAGGGGCCAGGCCAGGCCAGGCTGGGATGTGGGAGAGGGTCCGGGGTGTGGGATGGTGGTGGCAGGAAGGCGGCAGACTGCAGTGCGGTTCCCCCCTCCCCCGACCTGCTCGGCTCTGCTGCGGTACTGTCCAGCCCGGAGCTACCCG